GTAGTATAGTATGTGGTAGGGATTGGTCATTGCATCCACATACAAGGATTGATTGCACTGCACCTCATGTGACCCTATATATAGCATAATTCCAGACCAGTGGTTCCCAACGTTGGGTAACCCAGATATTCTTGGGTTGCAGCTCCCAGAAACGTTGGCAACCACAGCTGGTAGTGAAGGGTTCTGGGAATTGCAATCCAAGTACACCTGGGTTACCCAAGATTGGGACCACTGGTCTCGAATTATGCTAAATAGGGTCTCTTGAGGTGCAGCATGAAGTCAGAAGTCAGCATTTGCAGGACTAATAGACTTGGAGCTTTATAAACTTACCTACCTTTTGCAGAGAAGGAGCCCAGTAGATACTGTGACCAATGCATCAGGGGAGGGGGTTAACAGCTGCTGCTTTTGACTGTGTATATATCTTCTGACCTTGCTGTGGGAAAGTGGCAGTAGCTGTCGAAAGGTGCTCATGATAACAAAGTAAAAAGTTCCCCTCCCTTCTCATTTGGTCAGTGTATTATTTGAGTGTCCTTCCGCTTGAAGTGGGAGGACATGTGCCACCTATCACTGCTGTTGGCTGACCCCTTGCTTCCCTTCTACTTAGTCTCCTGTGTCCACCATTAGCTCTCTGCCAAGAGACACCTCAAGACAAGGCACTCTGGAAAGGTTAGCTGTAGCAAACCATTGAGAGTTTGGTTAGTTCTGGAGAGCCTGCTTCTGACTATTTCTCAACTAGCTCATTTAAGTCTCTGGAAAGCACAGCGGTGCCATTCTCTTGGAGTAACAAGCTGACTGGTTTCCTTTGTAGCAGTTGCCACGCCAGCCAATTGCCCAGTAAGGACTATCTTGAGAGCTAGAACTCTAGCTTGGCAGCAAAGAAAGCAGTCAGTGAGGCTCCTTGGCATTGGTGTATATGAGACAGATTTTGGCACCACCACCACCCCACAACAGACTGTCGCTTGTCCCTCCACACAGAGTGTTGACCTTGCAACAACACATCACTTTTGTACAGCACTCCCTCCACCAAAGTGGTATCCAGAAGCAGTGACTACCATTTAACGTTTATCTCACACAATCCCGTTCTCAGGAGATGTTAGGCTTCAGTCTTAAGCATATGTCCCTGGGACTGAGCCTCATTGGGCTTCTGAGAAAACAGGTAGATGACTGACCTGCAGTGATTGCTTCGACAAGAGGCGGTTTGTTTTGCTTCTCCTCATCTTCTTAAAATGAAGTCCTGTAGGTGATCACGGAACAAAGGGAAGGCAGTTAGCCTTTAGAGAAAGTGTGACAAGTAGATGTCCAAGCCAGCAAAGCCTCAAGGCCATGCCTTGAGAACTCTTTTTATTAACAACACGATTACGTAGAATATTGTGAGAATTCAGATAGGATATTAGTTACCTATTTGCCACTAGGACTGGCCGCAGAAACCTTTTGATCTAATGCTCTAACTCTAAGCAAAAGGGCAGAATGAGAGGTTCCCCCGCCGGCTGGGGGCTGCCGCTCTCTGCCAGGAGTGTTTGCACTCATTGAAACGGAATGCAGATAACAAACTTGGGCAGTGTTTTCCCACAAAATCCCAATGTTAGACCTGGTAGAACATGTAAGTGAAATCTAGTATGAATGGAAATTACATGAAAACTGGTTGTACATCAACTTCTGTGATAATTGAGAGTCTGCTATGGTTGACATTTTCATATACTGTAAATTGAATTAGATGTGTTCCTAAGATTATGACTGGCACACTTTCTTGAAAGCAGGCACCACTGAATTTAGTATAGGTTCCTCTGGAGTAAATGTGCATGAGAGCAGTCTGACCTGTGTATAGAGCTGTAGACAGAGAGCACTGGCAGGTTAAGACCTTGAGCTCCTTCTGTGGCTCCCCACATTTTGTCATTGCCCTCACTATCCATTTATTGTGAGAGGCAACATCCTCAAAAAAAAAAGTGTGCTGCTTATATACCGCCCCATAGTGCTTCAAGCACTCTCTGGGCGATTTACAAGTTAGTTATGCGGGCTACACATTGCCCCCCCCTCCAGCGAGCTGGGTACTCATTTTACCGACCTCGGAAGGATAGAAGGCTGAGTCAACCTTGAGCCAGCTAACTGGGATTTGATCCCCAGGTCGTGAGCACAGTTTTGGCTGCAGTACAGCAGTTTAACCACTGCACCATGAGGCTCACCCCTAGCTTGCAAAATGTCAGAAGTGCTTGTGGCTTGGAACCCCTGCTTTATAGTGTGAAGTTCTGCTTACTGTGTCACTTAGGTGGACTAACAGACTTTTTTAAGTGGCTTATATTGAGCAAACAAAACAAAGCAAAAGTAAGTTCATGCAAGCTTGGCATATATCTCTAGTATAGACAGAACATGGCACATTTCTCATGTTTTCTCATACATACCGTACTTTGCTTGAAGAAAAAGCCATAATTTGTGTGTTTTTCTTTGAAATTCCATGCGTGGAGTAATTGTCTTCAGGGTTGTTAAGTAGCATATAGGATGGCTTTATACTAGAATGAGGAAATGATAACCCCCCAGATATTGGTGGGTTCTAATACCCATTAGCTACATCTCCATAGTCAGCAGCTAAAGATTATTAGAGTTGTAGTAGAGAAGCATGTGGAGGACCCCAGTTCTTTACACCAGTATGACCACAGTATCATGTATCTTATGAGCTACCCCATTTGCTTCTTTCTCTACTCACATTCACCAAAATATGAACAGGTATGAAACTTTAGCCTCTATATTCTTTCCCCATCCATGTCTCTGCTTCATAACATACTATGATGCTTTGGACATCTCTGCCCAAATCAGTGGTGATGTAGTAAATGTTGAAGTGCAGTCTCAATTGTGATGGCTTCTAACAGAGTCTAAAAACTGATCCACATCAAAAAAATTGTTCTGACATTTTTCTTCTCCATCAAGGACAGGCCTTTTCTACAGTTAAGAAGTCTTCATTAACACCAAGGCCAAGGCATTCTAAAATTGTTTGCTCTACAATAGGAACAACCAGCAATAATGGATCATTATATCATTGTTAGATAATTTGTTTTTTTCCTTACAACTATGGTGATATTGCAGCAAAAACTGGAGAGAACAGGAGATCTTGCGGTGGATGGAGAATGGAGATGATGGCAAAAATGATGTCATCATTAATTAAAAAATTCTAGGGCTTTGACCCTGCAAACTCCACTGTACTACCGGTCCAGATAAGATTGATAATGGATCCAATAAAAGGAAGCGCATTGTGCTGTGTTTCTTGGGAATCCGTGGGATTAATACAGTTGTTAATACGTACTGATCTTTGGTGAACTGTGTTTTGATTTTGGTTGTCACAAATTGTGAACACGTCAAGGGGAGATGACCATGTTGTGTCTGTCTACTCTTGCAGTGGGGGGAGGGGGGAGACCTTTGTGGCATCTTAAGAACCAACCAGTTTTATTTGTCATATGTTTTAATGGCCTGCCTCTGATGGAATGGGCTGACACTTATGCTAAATGGTCTCTAAGGTGCCACAAGGCTTTTTGGTGCTTTTTCTATAAATGGTGATATTTCACTGAAAAAAAAGGAGTCCTTCAGCCTAATCATTTGTGCTTATTTGTTGGCATGGCAACTGATAAAATTGGATCATTACAATAAATATAGCAACTGGCCACTCTCTTAGTAGGCCAGGCCTGGCTTGTGGTTTAATTATCAAAGAGTAAATCATATTAGTCTTTTGCAGCAAAACCAATCAAGAGTCTTTAAAGCCTAAGCAATCTTTAAAGTTTGACAAGCATCCTTCCCCCACCCTCCTGTGGCTTTATTCTGGTTGCCAGTCTCAGTGAAACCAATACAGCATGGATAGTTGCAACAAAATTTAATTCCTGCTTCAAACAATCCAATTTGAGCCCATCTAGCTTTTTCTAGACTATGGACTTGTGGTTAACAGTACATACAGCAGTGAGGTAAAATATGTACGGAAGAAACTTGAATCCTCCCTGAAGGAACGGAACTCTCAGTTCACCAATTCCAAATTTTTAAAAGCAATCCCAAACAATGCAACTAAACTACCACTATTTGAAGTTCAGTGGAAGTGTGGTATTTTAAACTACTAGGCATTGATTGTGTTTTGCAAAGCTGATGTGCATTCATATGGAAGATGGCGTTTATAAAATAGTGGGGAATGACAAATAATTCCATATCGATTTTGTAGTACTTAATTTGCTCTGCCTGCTGTATGCTGATTCAGGCTTGAACATTCATGAAAGTTTATAGGAAAAGTGGGCTGTAAAATACTTGGGAATGTGTTGCATTTGTCTTACTACCCACTGGCCACAACACAGCTCTTGTGTGCAAGTAGTTGCTACAAAAACTGTTGCCCTAGATGGCAGTGAGCATTCCTACCACATGTCAAAAGATGTCAGGTGAGGCCTTCTGAAAGGAAGTACAGTGGTGCCTCGCTTTACGATTGCCCCACATTACGACGAATCTGCTTTATGATGATCTTTTTGCGATCGCAATTGCGATTGCAAAACAATGGTCTAAATGGGGGAATTTTGCTTTGTGATGATCGGTTCCCTGCTTCACAAACCGATTCTTCGCAAAACGACGTTTTTCTAACAGCTGATCGGCAGTTTCAAAATGGCCGCCGGGTAAATAAAATGGCTCTCCGCTGTGTTTAGGGATGAATTCCTCACTATATAGGCAGCGAAAATGGCCGCTGTATGGAGGATCTTCGCTGGACGGTGAGTTTTAAGCCCATTGGAATGCATTGAAAGGTTTTCACTGCGTTTCAATGGGCTTTTCGCTTTACGATGTTTTCACTTAATGGCGATTTTCCTGGAATGGATTATCACCGTTAAGAGAGGCACCACTGTAGTGCTTTTCTGCTGTGAACTTAAATGTTGCATGCTTTTAGATTGAGAAAGGGAAAGAGCCACTTTATGTATGTTAGTTGTTCTCAACATGTGACCAGATCAATGAGTTACTGACTTCTGGCTTTTTCCTCCCCTTTTCTCTTTCAGAGGGTTTGGCCGTGGGTGTCGGATTTGGTGCTATTGGGAAATCAGCATCTGCAACCTTTGAAAGTGCAAGGTAAGCTCACTGTATAATTTTAAGACACATATTTTACAGCTTCCTTTCCTTGTACAAAGGAGGCGAAGTTCAGTGCTGTGTGATTGCATGTTTGCATTGTGCAGTGGGGCTTTCTCCTCTTTGCCAGCCTCCCTTAAAATCTGCTAGGCATGTACAGGACTGTTGGAGTGGGGAACCACCTCCTTTTCCACTGAAAGAAGAAACACTGTCTGTAGAAGCTCCTTGAGGCTTACATGGGGGCTGCCACCAATAATGTCACTCAAGAGGTCAAAGAGAGTGAAACAGGTGAAAAACCCCAAGAGCAACAGGATTGCTTTTTCTACCTTCTCTTGTGCCCTCCAATTTCCGCAGAGTGACAGAAGGTATTTCAAGGTGAGACCCTGCCTGCCGTAGGAAGCGTAAATGTTATGGCTGGGCCCATCTGTAACTGCTGGATAATAGCTTTTGGTAATTAATGCTCTGTCTTTAAAGGTATTGTTTTGCTCCCCATACACTGTGAAGACAAGATCTAGCTTGAAACAATCAATAAATGGATAACTGTGAAACACAATCGTAGATTCCAGACTGTCTCTCAGTATAATATAGGTTTAGCTGTATCTGTGTCTCATAATGAAAAGACTCAAACTGTAGTGCTGGTCTCTTAGGAACAATTCTATCTTGGGGACTGTCACATTACTTGCACTGATTCATGACTCTGTATAAAGGAAGCTTGTATGAAGTACAACATAAATGGATGGGCAAATATCATTCCAATGGAAGATAGTCTAGGAAATTAGACTTTCACCGCACAAAAAGGTTGGCTTTTAAAAATGCTTCAGATCACCTTCCAAATATAATGTCTTGTTTTCCATCTGCATTTAATTGGACAAAGTTCTGTAAATGAGATGTGTGGGGTGGGTTTTGAAAAAGGGGAAATATCACTTTTGGGGAGGTTTGTTTGATTTAAAAGCATACCATGAAGTTAAGGGGAAGGGGAAATGTAAGCAGAGGCTGTAAACATTTCAGGTAAAATTTAAAAGTTTTGCCTGAGAGAATGAAACTTTGCCACTACAATTTCTCTTTAAAGGAAGAGAAATTAAAGAACCTCCAAAGTAGCAAAAACATTCAAGGCAAAATGGATCACTGTAGTGTCAATGGTCTTTAAAGATAAAAGGATTTTGAAATTAGTTTTTGTCTTTGATAAAGACAGTCCAGGGAGTTGAGGGCTTTTTTTTTCTTTTTTAAACCTCCAAGCCTTCTCAACAGACATTAGAAAGAATCTATCTGGTCCATCACAATCAGCATTCCTTTGAGATGAAAATGAAAAAGGTATCATTCTATGTTGTAAATCACAGATATATGTATGAAAACTATACGAAGGCTTTTGAAAAGTAATACTGCTTCACCACCACCCCGCCCCCATCCCCTATCCTAAAGAAGACTTGGTTTCCATTTTTTGAGAAACCTGGCTTTGTGATTTCAGGGCTTGATCTTAAAGCTTTTTTTTTCTTTTGTTTTTACTGTCTTTTCAAATCATGGAAGAGGCTCTTCTGAAGGATTGACAGGTTATTTTCTCTACAGAAGAATTGAAAGCTGCAAATAAGGATCCTTCCAGCTCAAATAATTAGTTTAGACAAGGTAGACTTCAAAAGAGCTATTACATCAAAAGTAATTCTACATTTTCTACTATTGCTTTCTTCTGTAGTTTATTGCCTGTAAAGGTACTAGGATTTTTTTTCGGGTGATATTTAAAGAGAAAAATTAATATGAATTTCCCACTTGTTCCTAATCAGCCCCTGAGGCAAATGTATTTTCTTTGTGGTTCCTTTCTGCTGATTAGGTTCATTTGTAAATGAACAAGAGGGAGAAAAGTGGGAGTAGAATGTCCTCCCTCACTTTAATTGAGTAATTGATTTCATATACAGTATTCATATGCTGATAGATACCTGTCCTGCCATCTGTATTAACCTAGCCACAGCAGCAAAATACTAGCATCCTAACCCAATTGTAGGGAGTAAATTCATTTTTTAAACAATCAATATAAACAGCAGAATGTTGAAGTGATTCTGCTTTTCACTTTAGCTCACAGATGTCTGTAAGCATCAATAATTCTTACCCTCCTTTTGAAAAACCAGCATACACCCTGTGTAAAAGAGCCTAGTGGCGCAGTGGTTAAACTCATGTACTGCATCCAAAACTGTGCTCACGACTCGGGGTTCAATCCCAGGTAGCCGGCCCAAGGTTGACTCAGCCTTCTATCCTTCCAAGGTCAGTAAAATGAGTGCCCAGCTTGCTGGGGGGGGGGGCAATGTGTAGCCTGCATAATTAACTTGTAGACTGCCCAGAGAGCGTTTATGGCGCTATGGGGTGGTATATAAGCACCACACTTTACTTTTTTTGCTCTGTGAAATCATTTGGAAGCCTGAGGTCTATTAAAGAAAAAACCCTGCATCCTGAATTTTGTGTGTGTGTGTGTGTGTGTGTGTGTGTGTGTGTGTGTGCAAATGCAAATATTTTGTGGAGAATTAGGTTGCATGCTTCCCCCTACTCGCCTTCAGAGCATTTATGGCCTTCCCAGATGTAAGGTGAACAGAAGGACAATAGGTGAAATAGGTTTTTCCCTATCATATGTCATGTATACAGCATTACTCCAGGAAGACGTTTGGGATTGGCAGAAGGACATCTTAATAAGCACTCCACAAATCCAAACTTGATTGCAAATTAGAATAGGTTTTCTATAGGGTCAGTTTGGGAAAGAGGTTGCATATGTGCCTCACATGGGCAGGCTGCTTTGCCCACAACAGGCCGAATGACTAAGATATAGGTTACGTTGCCTTATGTTTTTTCTATGGGGCTAACCATAGGAATCATAAGTTAACAGAATTGGAAGGTGCGTATAAGGCCATCGAGGCCAACCCCTTGCTCAATATAGGAATCCAGATCAAAGCAGATCTGACAAATGGTTGTCCCTCCCTTTGTCAGGAAGGCCCAGTGGGGAATCAAACTCCCAACCTCTGGCTCTGCAGTCCAGTACCTAAACTACTGAGCTATCCGGCAGTTCTTTTGAGCAACTAACTGGTGAGGTACATGACAGAACAACTCTTATTAATTTGTTGTTGTTGTATGCTGTCGAGTCAGAACTGACGTGTAGCAATCCTAATAGGGCTTTCAAAGATAAGTGAGATATTTAGGTAAAGGGAAAGGTTCCCCTTGACATTTAGTCCAGTCGTGTCCAAATCTAGGACGCAGTGCTCATCTCCGCTTCCAAGCCGTAGAGCCAGCATTTGTCCAAAGACAGTTTCCGTGGTCACGTGGCCAGCACAACTAGACACGGAACGCCGTAACCTTCCCACTGTGGTAGTACCTATTTATCTACTTGCATTTTTACATGCTTTCGAACTGCTAGGTTGGCAGGAGCTGGGACAAGCGACGGGAGCTCATTCCATCACGTGGATTCGATCTTACAACTACTGGTCTTCTGACCTTGCAGCACAGAGGCTTCTGCAGTTTAACCCATAGTACGGGTCTTAGTCTGTCCCTCTATCCACTATACCACACTGGGAATTGTAAGTCTTCCTAGAATTGGTCAGTTTCAGCCTCTTCAGCACCGGTGGTTGGTGCATAAACTTGGATAACTGTGATGTTGAAAGGTCTGCCTTGGACTCGTATTGAAATCATTCTCTCATTTTTGAGATTGTATCCCAGTACAGCTTTTCCCACTCTTTTGTTGACTATTAGGGGTACTCCATTTCTTCTATGGGATTCTTGCCCACAATAGTAGATATGGAAATCGTCTGAATTGAATTCGCCCATCCCCATCCATTTTAGTTCAGGATGTCAATGTTTATTCTTGCCCTCTCCTGTTTGACCACATCCAGCTTACCAAGGTTCATAGATCTTACATTCCAGGTTCCTAGGCAGTATTTTTCCTTTCAGCATCACACTTTCCTTTCCCTTCCAGACGTGTCCACAGCTGAGTGTCCTTTCAGCTTTGGCCCAACCACTTCATTATCTCTGGAGCTACTTGTATTTGTCCCCCGCTCTTCCTCAGTAGCATGTTGGACACCTTCTGACCTGAGGGGCTCATCTTCCAGCATCATATCTTTTAGCCTTTTGTTTCTGTCCATGGAGTTTTCTTGGCAAAGATACTGGAGGGGCTTGCCAGTTCCTGCTCCAGGTGGATCGCGTTTAGTCAGAACTCTCCACTATGACCTGTCCATCTTGAGTGTCTCTGCACGGCATAGCCCATAGCTTCTCTGAGTTACTCAAGCCCCTTCGCTATGACAAGGCAGCAATCTGTGAAGGAGTAGGAATACACCCAACTAAAGAGCTGCATATTCCTAGGCAGTCCATAGGTGGCAAAATTCCACTCTACAGGAAGACCATGGCTTGAGTGGGTTTAGGCAGGAGGGCTGTTGTTAACTTGGGAGTCAGACCATCTGAGTCTTCTCTTCCTTTGTCTTTGCTTCATTCTGAGAATGCTGTGAGCAGAAAGGGCTTCAGTTGCTCACCATTCTTGCTCTGGCTTGGTCCCTCACTGAAGGGAGAGGGACCTGCTTGTTGATAATCATTCTGCTCTAATCCCTTACCTCCACTTTATGAAAGCCTTTAGCTGAAATTACTATGCCAGAAAATACAGGGGGGTTGGCGAGAGAGACTTCTTCACCTTTCTCTGGAAAGCCTTCTGTCCTCCTGCTTCATAGTTTTCTGGTGTTTAGCACCTGCAATCTGCTGTGCACTTTGAAATGATTGTATTTGAATATGTCCCCCCTGGGGCTGAAAAGGTCATCCTCATTGCTTTCTCAGCACTAACTCATTTAGCTGCCTCTTCTCAGATTTAAAACCTCTGATGTTTTAAAAAGTCTGATCCATACATAAATAACAAATTGCCCATACGATTTCCTGGGGCAGGAATTCAGAAGGGAGGAAATTGGTTCAGCATAGTAAAACCACTGAGCTCTCAGTTGACCAGGGATGAACCGTTTCAGTTGAATTACTGAGAAGTATAAAATAGAGGCTGC